TAATAATAATAATAATAATAATAATAATAATAATAATAATAATAACAGCAAAAACTAACAAAAATAAATTGTTCAAAAGAAACAAGGAAGGGGAAAAAAACAAACCAACAAAGAGATAATAATCAGTAATACTTCAAAACCAAATGTAGTTCAAAAGAAGTCCAAGAGCAATGGGAGAATTGTTCTTTTCCTTTAGATACTCCCTTAGAGTTTAGTTTGTTTCCTGTGTGGAAAGTGTTGTTTGGTTTTTCTGTGTGAAGTGTCTCTTTTTTCCCTACCACCAGGTGGTGTGTGGGTGGCTCGCCATCCTCCGTCATCAAGCGAGTCGATGAAGGTGAAGGAAAAAAAAAACCTGACCGTCGAGTAACGGATTGTCTGAGGAGGTGGAGTCTAAGTTAACTTGTTCTCATCAGGAAGGTATACCAGGCGTCAATGAATCCCAACCGCAGATCCTCGAGTTTTAGGGATGAATTTGTTTAGTGATGATTCGAGTTGGAGATTTGAGATTGTTTTATTAACAACCGACRCCACAACCAACAGTGAGCAGCAGCACAGTGGAAACCCGGAAATACACAAGAGGGTCCCAGCGGTTAAAGGGACGGCTTAAAGGGAAGGTGGTTGGGGCGTGGCGGTCACGTGGGTTACGTGTGTGTGTGTGTGTGTGTGTGTGTGTGTGTGTGTGTGTGTGTGTGTGTGTGTGTGTGTGTGTGTGTGTGTGTGTGTGTGTTTTCTCACCCAGTTTTTTTAAGGGGTACTCAATTTCAAAGAAAGTGTTGTAAAACTTCAGCAGTTTGGAAGCAGCCTCCAAAGCGTACTCGGTGTGCTCCTTTTTCTCCGGCACAGAATAGACAGACACCTAGAACCCACGGATGCTGATCAAATCAAAGTTACACACAAACATCCAGACAAGACAAAGGGGTCATGAGTATACCTACATTGATTCCCGAATCATTTTTGCTGACAGAAGTGAAATCWGCAACAATGAAGGCCACCAGATACGTGCTCATGTTGACATTGGTCTTTTCAAACTCGTCCAGCACAAGTCCATTGGATAGATTTGTAGTTCTGACCTGAAACACACAACAGAAGAGGGAGATATTGATAGACTGAGCTTGTTAGTAACTAAGACTGTTGTAAAATAAAGTACTGCAAATTAATATTAAAAAAAAAACTTGTGATCATGCCCATATTAGGGGCGTATTAAACAGCTGCGCAGTCATCGATATGCTGTGCACATACATAGTTTCTCCTTTAAAGACAAAACAAAGCAGCTTTTTATTGAAGTATACCATAAATCGTAAATCGTATGTAACAAAACTAGCCTCTGATTTAAGTCAGATCTTTAGTTTGAGTCATGTTCTGAAAGCTCTTTCATATGAACTGTAAAGTGAAAAAAAAAAACATTAACTACTATTAAACAAAAATACATTTGGAAGTTTTCAGCTTTTGTTCCATTAATGTGCATATCTAGTCTTATATTACCTTTGGCATGTTGGAAAGCGTCGTGTAGTTTGCTTTTCTGGCAATTTTTATCAGGAAAGTAGATTTGAAATTTGGCTCRTCAAAACAAGGGAAGGCCTTTCTGGCTGACAGCGGCTCAAACTGCGTTGCTGCAAGAACTCTAAAGACAAAGGATAAAGCTGTATAATATGACTGAAGAACAAAGAAATACTTTAAAGGGATCCCCGATTAGTTGTAACATTAGACTTTATTTGATAAACATATATTTTAACTGTAAAATAAAGACTGTAAAAATACTGTAGGCTGTTTAGTTTTGTAATTTTTTAACTAAAAGTTTAAAAATGTGTTACATGGATGGGGCCATTTTATTTACACGCAAAGCATTCTGGGTAAATGATGACGTGGAT